GAAAGAAATATTTAAAATTGTTGATTTGTGTCTTAATACACACACCTCTCAACAAAGACTAGAGCTTCCACTGAACACACTGAGGACTCGGCTTCCATTTAAGCAGCGTTCAGGTGACTCACAGATGGATTATAATAGAATACAATAGAATTCCTTTTATTGTCATGGCAATTTTTGCAGTAAAATTAACCAGTTTTCTCCCTGTGCATTATAAATAAATTTGCCCCTACTTTGGTATGTTTTGTTTTGTTTTTCACAGTTTTTTAAGAGAGGCTTTTTTTTTAAGGGACCAGTGCATGGAGCTCTAAAGCGATTTGTATTGAGCTGCGTGGTTTTCAGTGTGTTGCCCAAGGACACTTTAACATGTGGTTAATCTTACAATTACATTTAAAATGTAAAATGTGCGGATTCATGATGTTGGTGCCTCTTTCAAACACTGTAAAACTGCTTTATTCAACACAATAACAAGTTGTAATATTGGAGTAATTCAACAACGCAGACAGGAAATTGTTGCTAGAGAGAAGTAATAATACAGAAAACACTACCTGCAAGTTGACAGGATTGGCATCTTCGGTTTGTTATGTATGGAAGCCTGGAAGTCTGAATCCATGTTTTGCACTTCCAAGGTCAGAGAGCTATGGTCTTGACTTGGTCTTCTAGTACACAAAAAGCACCACATGGACATTTTAATAAGATCTAAAACTTTCACTGGAGATGATCCCAAAGAGTTAAATGGTCCTTTATGTTGGATTGTTACCAGTTTAAAACAGCATCGTTTTTGTTTTGTTTTTGTTTTTTTTAAAACTTCAGTTCAATTCAGTTTTATTTCCTAAAATTTCTTATTCAAATCTTACTGGTTCCTGTCAGAACTGGCTGCAGCGTTTTGTGTCAGCTGAAGGTTTTTAAGAGAATTACTGATATTAGAGAATTCCAATAGTCCAGTCTAGAAGTTTTGTTTTTCAGCATCACTCTGAGATTGGGTATTCCTGATTTTGATGATATTACAGGGTGACGTTGGTGGTGGAGTTTGGCTAACTGATTGGTTTCATTTTACTTTATAGATAAATATAACTTGGTGTCATCTGTATAAAAATGGACATTTTTGCAGTGCTTCCTAATAATATTGCCTAAGGGGAGCATGTACAAAGTAAACAATATTGGTCCTGACACAGAGCCCTGTGGAACTCCATAATTAACTCTGGTGTGAGTGGAAAAATCATCATTAACATGAACAAACTGAAATCTGTCTTTCACCAGCGCTGTTTCTATTCTACTATCTAATACTAATCTATACTAATTTTCACAAGAAAACATAAATGATTGCAATATAATTTAACAAAAACCTTAACAAATATGTGTTAAAATTTTTTTTTAAAGAATTTAATACATTAAAGCGATACTATTGCTAGATTCAGGATTTGGCATGAACCCAGTATGTGTAAAATGCTGGTTTGGCTGTGCATGTAGGAAATGGTACATGTTCCGTTTCGTGTAACTGTGCTAACCCTTTGCTTCTGACCTGCTTTGCAACTACACTCAAAGTGTATGTAAAAACCCTGATCCGAAAATGATCCAGAAAAACATTACACAAAGGAATTTGAAATACACATACATTTTATTGATGACCATCTGACAGTGGATATCTGGCATTGATCAGAATACATCCATTACTGTGAAAACCACAAGAAAACAAGACAAGTAACTCAAGATAAAAACAAACAAAAAGTCTTTGCATTAACAATAAAGGACTAAAAGAACAAAGTGTACATTTGTTGCGTTCCAGAGTGGCTGAGGTGATCCTAACTACAAGCTCAATCATTTTAGTGGTAAAATCTTTTGAAATATCGTATACTGTAGATAGTGTTAAGCAGATGCTTGTACATATTGCACGCTGGCTAGACTGCTACCTCGAATTACCTCCACTGAACCACTTGGCTTCAGACTGCCTAACGCACCAAGAAGAAAAAGCCAATGTCAGCTAAACATGTCTTCATATAATATTATCATAGCTTCAGGTATAAAGCTGCTACATAACATTACCCTGTGCATTATGCAATACTCAGGGTTGCACAAAATACATAGCAATTATCTAACGAAGGAGACAATAGAATCACGGTGTTATTGGATCCTTCCATTTTAATATTCATCCTTTGTGAGCACACAGATGTGTAGGAGGAATAGAGGGTTAGGAGGTTAGTTATCAGTAAAGTATGTGAAGTGCTGCACTGCTGCAGTCACTATGAGTCCAGCCAGTCTCCAACAGTGACAATGCTGAGGAGGACACCACCACCACCACCGTCATCATCGTCATAATCATCATCATCAGTGGCTAACCTTGATTTTGTGGATTAGTAATAGCAATCAACTTGTTGTTAATCATTCCTGTGACGCATGCGAAACGTGCATTGCAGAAAGAGTGCCGAAGACAGCGGAGGGCACTGAAGCTTGTGCATCTTTGTACATTGACACTGGAAAGCGAGAGAAGCTTTAATTCACAGTTCAAATAAAAGATCTAAGAAAATGGCTTTAAAACTGGTTATAATTAAGTCTTTCAAAAAAAACACTAGAGCGGCGCAAAATGACCAACATATCACTGGCAGGTGAACAATGCCAATGACTGATTTAATTGGCCTCCTTCCTGAGCCAACCAAGCCAAGCAACGAAAAAGTTTATTGTTCTTCCCTTTAGAACACTTATCACGGTATTATGTTTCCTCTTTACAGCATGTTTCATTTGTAGCTCTTGATTACTGAGCTAGCGTAAAGTGTGAACACGTCCTGCCTCCTTGAGTCGTGTTACAATACGGCGGCACACACTGAAGTGAATGTATGCAGCTGTAGCTGCCAGAGCGCAGCATTCTGTACAGAAATCTACTTAAAGTGTGGAAGCGCTGTGTGAATATGTCACCTACATGAATAATTGCATTGATTCCGTTGATATAACACTGGTGAACTCTGATGGCCTCAGTGTACTTCAAAAGTGCTTTTCTGAATCAGCTAAAACCTGGTAACTTTCCTGAACAGAGAATTTGACAGTGATCCCAACCGTATGTAGTGATTTGCAGGATGACAACTACTTTTGTCACACCGTGAAGGAGAGGAAAGGAAAGACTGTCGGCTGAAGGTGCAGAATATTGCATTAAGACTAGAAACACTCACAAAAGAGGTCTTACAGAGAGTTCAGAGAGGAAGGACCGCGCTCAGTTTAAAGCACACTGAGATCTGAAAACATGAATTCACCCTGTTGATGACACCGAAACAGAGGAAGCTATGGTATCAAGTGTTGCACCTTCCAGTTGTATATAATCCTGCTCAGTTGAACGAGAGGTAAACACAAAAGAGCATTTAGCCAAAAGTACCACTGTGGTCACTACGTTATAGGAACAAAGGTGTCTTTTACTGGTGTTGTTGTACTGTCTCCTGGCTGCCAGCAGAGGTCAATTAAGATATGACAGAACTTGGATTAATGCCCCTTTAATTTTGCCCATGTAGTTGAATTTACCACGATGTCAGGCAAACTTGTTACACATTTAGACAATGGCCCTTCATGAATCCACAGTATGATGCTCAGTGTTTACGTCTGAAGTCACACTTATACAAAGCATAAAGTATTTCTTTCAGAGGGCGAATCTGATTGGCTGATTGAATCTTGACATCACATTATATTCATACGAGGCACTCTTAATTAAGACTTTAAACCTTTCATAATCATCTGGAGATGTTAACTTGTATGAATATGGCTAACTGCGCCTCAGTCTTTAACACAGAAAGAATTTCTGCTAAATTCAGTGGCTCAAGTTCCTATGAGTCGGGAGGAAACATCGTTCACCGTCTACGGAATAAATCATGAAATGGATGGAAAGTTTGGCAGGACACATTCAAATTCTGCTGCCATCTCTACATCAACTAACAGCAGACTTGCTCACCGAAATGCTTTTTAAGGACGGAGGTATTCAAGTTTCCTTAGTGATTGAAAACAAGAGTAAGGCGACATCCAATTTAGGAACAAACATAGCAATCAAAACCTGCCTCAACCTTTCATGCTATGGCTGGTGAGAAAAAAAATGGTGAGAGATGTCCATGTGAAAGCACACACACACACGCGCCCGTACGTACACACACACATGCAGTCTTGGTTCTAAAGCTGCTGAAACGATGCTAAAAAATCTGTACAATATTTAAATACTGTATTTACAGAAATAAACATACTTCATTGTTTGTCTCAACTGGCCTGCACTCTTGATGTGCAATCACACCTGGATTTCAAATATTAAAGTGGGCAATCTGTCCACAGCTATTTGTCAGAAGCATAAACAAATAAAGGCAACAGTTAAGCATATTTGATGGCTGTTCTTTCTTTTCAGATTGCTCTCGCAGCACAGTTCACATTCCTGGATTTATGTTTAACAGTGGATAACATTAAAGGACCATACTGGTGGTTTTGCATGGTTTGGCATCAGCTTATGAAAATGACTAGAGGATTGAACAATGGACGGCCATTTACTGCCACATCTCATCAGTATATGTAAGTAAACAAATACTGGTCCTGGTTCTCCAACTGTCTGCAAAGCTTACATGCACCATACTGAACAAAGCTAATTACACAACTAGGAATGTATGAACAACTAAAAACTGTGTACTCAATGTTCTCTATTAGTTTTATATAGCAATGTATCAACTCAGCTGTTTCGTAATAACATGATGTTATTAAAACCTTAATTACATCAAGTCCACGTGACAGTTCAACTTCCATCCATTCATCCATCATCTATACACCGCCTAATCCTCACCAGGGTCACGGGGGGACTGGAGTCTATCCCAGCTGACTCAGGGTGAAGGCAGGGGACACCCTGGACAGGTCACCAGTCTATCACAGGGCTACACTTAGAGACAGACAACCAAGCACACTCACATTCACACCTACGGACAATTTAGAATCATCATGTTTTTGAACCTTGTGGGAGGAAGCCAGAGAACCCGGAGAGAACCCACGCTGCACATGCAAAGTCCACGCAGAAAGATCCCGAGGCAACAGTGCTCCCAACTGCGCCACCTTGCAGCCCACAGTTCAGCTTAACTGGCTAAAATAAAATGGTATGCTCCAGAAAATGATTGACACTATTTAAAGCTAAATCATGCAAAACGACTGGCATGGTCCTCAGAACTGTAGTGAAGCGGTGCTGATGTCATGTTTGGAGAATATTAACAGCATTAAGATATATCATTATATTTCATTAGAGAATGTTCAAACTTTTATCTCTTAAAATGATCTGTAGTGCATATACAGAGCAACAAGACACTGCATAAACCAGCATCATGAAGGACACACAATGATCTGCTGAAACCTTAAAGAACATGAAGCATGGAAAGATGCATTGAATTGTGACAGAAGATCTGAAAAGCTGTCCTATGATAAATCATTGTGGCTGAGAAGTGTTCAATAGTGATTAAGACTTTATCTTTCCTGTCAGGAGTTCTTAAAAATGATTAAACAAAACTGTAGTCCCAGCACGGGGTATATGGGTTTGTCATGAGTGTGTGAAAACTGTGGAGCTCCTCAGAAAATAAACTAGTGGATGGAGTAAAGTGACAGACCTAAACACACTGAGCTCTTTCACACTACTTTTCTTTTCCTTGCCATAACATGGATTCTACAGTTGAATGTCTGGGTTTTAGGTGAAGCTTAACACTTTCACTCAGTTTACCACCCAATCTTAAACTGAGTGACTGAGCATTGTGATTCATGAACATTAACAGCTTTCCAGTAAATATCCACAGATTGTTGTATGTGTGTGTTTTCATTGCTTTCAATAATTCTGAAACATTGACTTTCTCATGGCCTAGTTAATGGCTTAGGAAGTCGATGCTTGCTTTGACGGTGCGTCCAGTGGACACATCCACTGCCATTGCCCGGATCTCTGTGTCACCAAACTGCATGAGCGTCTGGATTTCACGACGTGGTGCCGTGCTTTCCGTTCCGCTCACATCCAAGCGAAGTGTCCCACACTTCCTGACACCGGGCTCGCTGATGAACCCAACGCTCTCCTTCTCAGAACAATAGACGTGGATGACGATAACCTGCTGGGAAGGTTTGGCTGGCGTGTAGCTCCGCTTTACCATCTCGCCGAGTGCCACGGACTGGTCGGCAGCAATGAAGGTGTCAAAGACGTCAGTGCACCAGCGGGTGCCATCCTTCACCAGTAGCTTCTCCGGTGGGTGCTTGCCCTCCACAAAGCGATTGAGGACACCCACCCCGTATGTAAGGGGAGAGCGGCGGACTTTGATGACACTGGGGTCCAGGCCGAACAGTACAGCACCTTTCAGGATGGTTAGGCCAACGTCATGGGGGATAATGATGCGGCTGCGGCCCTGGAGCATGTTCTGGACGGCTTGCTGCAGCAGGGTTGACTCAGCAAAACCTCCCACTAGAAACAGGAACTTAATATCGCTGACTTCTGGCTTCTCAAAGAGCTCAGCTAGAAGAGAAAAGCAGAATTTCAATAAACAAAACGATACTAGAAGGAGTGCATGAATTTACTAAGATCTATTTATTGGTGTATTTAGGTTTTTATTGTTGTTTATAGGTGAACAGTAAATCGCTGAATTGACTCCACTATGCTTACTGTGCTGCTGGTCCTTTGTGTGCCATCACAACAGCTCTAACCCACTAAGGGCGCCTTCACCCTCTGAAGGTGCCCTGTGATATCAGGCACCAAAATGTGTGCAGCTGATCCTTGATGACAGCAAAGCATGTTACAATCTGCCTCTCAATTACACATACAGTGATGACAGCAAGTTACCTTGCAAAGTGCTGGCCTGAGGAACCATTGTGGGTCCAGACATTTTGACAAGTGATGAGTAGTTGAGAATGAAACTCCCAATCATATGATCCATGCATGATCTGCTGTACCTCCTCCTCCGACCACAGCTTTCACAGATGTGCCCTAATATAAGTTTTATGCTAATTTATGTTACTATAGCATAGTAATATCATCTCAGCACATACCTTTAGTAGAAGCATAGTAGGCAGGGGTATTAGACTGGGTGAAATTACTCATCACTACAACTTACATCTAATTTTCTTTAGTTTTTATGAAAATATTTTATGACAGCACAGCAAGAAATGCAACAGTGAGAGGACCAGTCTGGTAAAAAACAACCTGAGGATTGACTTAGATTATTTCACCATTACATTTGTAAGTGACTGCACCTGAAATCTTAAAAAAGTGTTACGACCAAGGAAAAGTTACAACCACAGCAGATACAAGCAGGTAAAAGGTGCAGGTGATGGGTGTTAACAGTTTGGGCTAATTATTCTTTTCCAGCGTCAGACTACTTGTCTTTGTAATCCCTCAAAAATGTTTGGTGCAGCTCTGTTCTTAGAGTTTAACACATAACCTGTTGGGTACAATCTTAGTGTTACTGGTTGTTTCCTGTAAAATCCATTCACTGCATTAGGTGTGCTTCGTACTAGTTCAATCAAATCTTGCTTTCTATTTGTTTGTGGATTTTACTTCAGTTAGAAGGAGCACTTAACTGATTTCTCAAACTGGGGCTTAATGAACTTGTAGCAGCATCTCAATATTGCTTTAAATGTCACCACACAATTCATAAAAACAACAGTCTGACTGTAGAAGACACTGAGTCTCTTGTTCACTCTCATAATCTGATAATTTACTGATAGTAAAATCCCAGATGAAAAACAAAACTACTTTTTTTATTGCTACATCTTGCAGAAAAAATAGTATGCAGACTCTTAATATAAAGGCAGTTCTTTGATTCTGCTACACAGGCTGTAAATGAATGCATTCACACACAATAAGGTGTAAAGTCTTTAGTTGCCAAAGATTTTGTCAGTTTTCAGTGATCGTTTTTTATGAGGAAAGCCAAACAAGTCACAAATATGTTTTACAACGTGAGCAAACCAATTAAAATCCACGCAGACCAATCCATGCTGAAGTAATCTGACCTACTTTCCTCGAGTTCTGGAAACTATGAATTATGTAGGTTGGTTGTATTTAGAGAGAGACCAAGCCTCTTCTTTTGAAAACTGAGCAGTAAAATCAGGCTTCTCAGGATGTTTTTATCTGTCACTGAGCTCAATCAGTCTTTCTTTCAAAGATTAAAAGCAGCAGCACAATGATCACAAATTGTGTCGAGAAAATAGTTTTTTTTACCAACAGTAAAAAACAGATTTACCACAAAAAAATTGCAATTTTATTCATATAATTTCCTTTGGAGCTACAAGACTTGTTTGAACAGAAAGGTGAGACGTGTGAGCATTGAGGTGTTATGAATGTAGCTTACTGAGATGTTGGATGATGTGGTCTATGGTGGGCTTAAAGAGGGAATTCATAGCATCTGGACTCATCCTCAGCATCCCCTGAGATGACCATTTAACAAAGTCCACACTGGAGAGGAGACAAGAAGAGAAAATGTGTTACATGTGGTCTATTCAATTCAGTTACATTACGTTCATCTATAATTAGGGCCAAGTAAAGCAAAAGACATTTCAAAATAGATCAGATATTCCCAGTCATTTAGAAAATAAAGTCAAACTGATGTTCAATGCAATTATGTTGAAGTGTTTTGCATGACATCAAAAAAACTTCTACACGCACGGTTCCATGGTATTATCTGTCTAGAATCTTAAGATCATTTTGTAAAATCACCGTACAACGTTTGTATTTCAGACAAGACACTATTCCACTGAAACTATAAAGCAATAGTCCTAAAATGTAGCTCAGTGCTACCTGCAGTAGTATTGTAGTCCAGCCGCAACACATGAAGAAAATTTCACTATTTCTACAAATTCTACAATTTCATTTAGTAGACGCTTTCATCCAAAGCAACGTACATCTGAGAGCGGATACAACACAAGCAAGGATCTAGTCAGGAGAAAACAATCTGGAGAAGTGCCATAGAGCATGTTCAAGTGTGATAGGGCGTTGATGCCAACAGCAGGCTGTGTGGGAGTTAACAGGATTTTTCTTTTTTGTTTGTTTGTGGAGGTGGAGCGGTGGTTAGCACTACTGCCTCGCAGCAAGATTGCCGGTTCGCGTCCCGGTGAGGACACCTGGGATCTTTCTGCGTGGAGTTTGCATGTTCTCGCCGTGCAGCGTGGGTTCTCTCCAGGTTTTCCGGCTTCCTCCCACACAGTCCAAAAACATGTTGAGGTTAATTGGTGACTCTAAATTGTCTGTAGGTGTGAATGTGAGTGTGCTTGGTTGTCTGTCTCTAAGTGCAGCACTGTGATAGACTGGTGACCTGTCCAGGGTGTCCCCTGCCTTCACCCTGAGTCAGCTGGGATAGACTCCAGCCCCCCCGCAACCCTCATGAGGATTAAGCGGTGTATAGATAATGGATGGATGGATGGATGTTATTTTGTTTTCAGTCTGTCAAGTGCAAAGGTGTTCAATGAAGAATTGGGTCTTTAGTCTTTTCTTAAAGACTGAGAGAGAATCAGCAGATTGAAGTTTGGTAACTCGTTCCACCACCGGGGAACCACAGAGGAGAAGAGTCTAGCTATCGACCTCAGGCCTTGTTGCAGTGGTTGTATCAGGCAGCTTTTGTTGGTGGAGCGTAGTGAGCAGGAGGGAGTGTAGACCCAAATGAGAGAGTTCAGGTCGTAGTTTTGAATTTTAGCAACAGGAAGCCAGTGAAGTGAACAGTGAGGTGAAATGTGCTGTTTTTGGCCGGTTGAAAGTCTGAGAGAGGGAGAGTTGAAGGTCGCGTTTTGTCTATTTAACCTGTTCATTATCTTAATACTGTTGGCACTACAGTACTGAAATAGAGAGACAGAAGAGAAAAATGTACTAACATATTATAGTGGAATTCTTCTGATTAATTTAATTAATGTAATAGTGAGCTTGAGGAATGATTTATTCAGTGTACAGCTAGCAGGTCTTTGTGACTGTACTTACAGCACTGTGCTAACATGCTACCATTAACAGATTAATGACAATGACAATGCTGATGTTAAACAGGTAGTGTTTACCTGTTTACCATCTCAGTTTTTTTTATGTTAGTGTGCTACCATTTGATAACTACCAGTGAAGACAATATGATCATTTAGTTTTAACACTTAAAGTGTAAGTTAGATTTAGGACTTTGTTCGCTAAGCATTAAATCATACTCCATGGAATGGAGTGCATACATAAATGCGATCATGGATGCACATATGGACATAAAGCAAAGAACTTCACAGCTAAAAATATTAGCCAGATGGTAATGCTAAATGAAAATCAACAAGAGTTATCTCTTGGGATCATGGTTGGCTATAATGGCATTTAAACTAATTGTCCACGAGATCTTTTGTCTTTTTGCCTCATTTCACAGAACTCCTAGCTGAAGATGCCAAAACAATCATCCTGCTGGAGGTTTAAGACGGCTTCATAGTCCATCAGAAGTGCTTGACTTTTCTTTGCTTTGTGTGGGTACAGGTATGGGTCCAGTACTGACATACCATAAAGGTTCCCAAACGATGTCAGAATATGACTTCTGAATCTTTTCAGATTGGTGAAAGGGCTTTAGAATTCACATACACCCTTCCAGCTTTGGATTAGGTGAGTAATGTAATGTCACACTGAAGTTAAACCAACTATAGTCTGTTTGTGTGCTCTCTGTATGCTGTCTGTAGTCACCCAAAGACATTTAGTGAATGAAGAAGCTCCTTAACACCACTGTACTGTACTGTACTTGAGGGTGTTGTAATTAAAACAGCTTCAACAAGGTGATGCAGATTCTGTGTAGCGGACCGCACTAAGTATATTTTATGCTTGGAAATCATCATCTTGGGAATCTATGCTGCCTGGACATATCACTTAGCAAGACTATGAGTTAGGTGGTATGCAGATCAGCCGCTGTGCAGCTAGACAACCAGAAGCAGAAACCAGAGTTAGTATCATGCACTGCTATAGATTTTTGTGTAGGCTGCTTCCCTCAGTCCTCTCTAGAGGCCTACAAGTCCATTTAGCTATATCTGTTGCCATATGTCTGTTGAACAATAAATAATGAAAAAATCCATGGTATCCATCCGCTGTGATCCCATGTGTGTGATTCATGTACAGTAGGAGCACATGTGTGTGATAGTGTTGGCCCCACCCAGGGTTTTCCAGCACAATTAGACAGACTGAGAACTTCCAGTCAGGCGTCAGATGAGCCTGGGGGCCACTGAGGGCTCCAATTTCAGTCACATAAATATCTGCTGCTGCTCCTCACTCTGGTATTGTGTGTGGGATGAAAATCGACACAGACATAAGACAGGGCCATTAATATCTAGACTTCATGGTGCTCCCAGAAGTCAGGCCTTATAGTACTCTAAGTGAAAAGTTATGCCACCATTTATTTGTTCACTTACACTGCC